AAAAATATTTTTAAAAATGTGATTTTCTAACATTTTAGCAAACTATAGGGAGAAATACGTACAATTTGATGGTCCATCACTCCTGAAAGGAATGCACATATTCAAGATTATCAAGGTAAAATAAAATATTGAAAATTATAATAATTAGATACACAATGTGCAACGTCAACATCCAGAGTGACTCTTTTTCCAATATGCTACCAAATTTTTGCTCAATATTTGTAAAATCGACTGACTTTGAATCATGGATGTGCTCGTTAAGGTTTATTACTTGGAGCAGACATATAGAATTGTATAGATTTTCAAAGATTTAATGACGAATTTTAGTAAAATCCATTAAGTGGTGATGAGATTTTCTGCTAAGAGATGGATGAAGTTATTAAAGTTGATTTCCAATGTTAATAAGCACAGCTGTTGCTCACCGAGTTAAGCTTGGCATTCATGATGGGGATGATTGTTAGCTACTAGAATACCAAATTTGAGTTTAATATCTTTAAAATTGACTAAGTTAGAACTATTTATGTTTGCTAGGATTGAGTAGCTATAGTGACCATCCTGAATTTGGGTTGATTGAAATAGTTAAAGCATCACTAAAGAGGTTTTAACACTTTAAGATATTGCTTTCAAAGTGTTTTCAGTGATTCAGAAGGTTAAAACTTTACCAACTTGACAGTACTCTGCAGTCCTCTGCTGACCAAAAACCACAACTAGCAGTTTTGTTGGATAAACAGGTGCCCTATGAAGAGCTCATACCTGCTTTATGGCTAGTAGCTGTTTACTCTGCCGATAGCTAATATAAAGGCTAGCAGTTAGCTTTTTCAGTTCGCTGACAGTCAAAAAAATGCAGAAGAAGAAAAAGAACAAGTTTGCTTTTTTGATGGCATCTTAGCGGAGCCTGGAAATAAAAGAAAGAGAGCAATATGGCGAAGCAACAAGCTAAAACCAGAGTGAACATCGGCGTGGCTAACTGAGGCTACGAAATCCCAAACTGATAGTGAGCTAGCTTTGTTGCTTTGCACTTGTAATTAATTATGTTTTGTGTTGATCTTTTCACATTTTGTCCTATTTAGTATCAGCTGGCTCGTTCTAGCGTTAGCTCGTTGTTAGCATTAGCTATAGTGGCCTGTTGCAAGTTTGTTTACGGCAGTTGTAATTCCACTTTCAACCAGTAGGAGGGAGAAGCGGGGAGACTCATTTGGTGTTAGTTTAATGAGTTGTAGTAAGTTCTGTTCAGAAAATGTAGTGGATCATGTCACCAAATAGGGCAAACAAGCAAGATAACATAATCACCCACCATTTTGTGTCTAGGAATAATAATCAATCACCAGATAAGTGTATACTTTTGTTTCTCCTTTGTCCCATCCTGACTGCAAAAGCAGTCTGTCTTTAGAATGATGACTGAATGACTGGGTCTTCTCTTTTTTTTTAGTAGTTGCTCACAAATAAATCACATTGCTGGACAATAAACGCATCAACAAGAACCTAATAAACACCAGGAATTAACATCTTTGGATGATTAAAAGAAACATTTTTCTGATTAATCTTCAGAGCGTGTCGTTACAACAAAAACAGGACAAGCTCCTTGAAAAATGTCTAATTTCCAGTGACAGCGCTGATGAAAGAACAGCTCTCTGTTAGTTCTTGTATTCATTTGAACTTCATTAGAATGAATGAAGCTGTCCTCGGAGTGAAAGAGAGATTTCTCAGGTCTCCGACAGTAAAAAACTGAAAAAAAAAACCCTCAAATTTTTAATTATTTTGCAAAACAAAGTGAATAACATTAGAAACGTGCAAACTTCTGTCAGACGTGTATTTATTTAAGCTGTCTTCCCAGGATTGTGATTTTTTTTCTTATTTCCCACCAGACTGCAGTTTGCTTTGACCTCCGCCTGCTTCTCTCCTTCTCTTGCTTTCACACTCTTCATCCTGTAAAGATGGAGAGACACAGAAAGAGAGGTGTTAGAAGTAGAGCTGCCTCTTTTCACACCTTTCTCTCCCTCCATTCGCCATTTCTCCCTCTCGCTCGCTCTCTCTGCTTGGGCTTCTGACAGACTTATTTATATAGAACAGAGAACATAAAGACGCAGCGTGGCGGTGAGAGGAAAAGGAGTTCCAGGACTTTAACTGCAGCTTCACATCAGTCCTTCCTTTAACTCCGACTTTAAAAACAGTTAGAGAGGGTTATTCCTCCTAAGCTGCTGTTTGGGCTGCTGATTGAAACCGCAGCCAGACGCCGTATGAATATTTCTGTGAGGGATTGAGACCAGCTGCAGGAGGTGTGATTATCAATATAAGCACCCCTCTTCTCTTCACTTCTCACTTTTCTCTCTCTTTCTCACGTCTCCATCTCCGTGTCCTCATATTTCTGTCTTTCTTGTCCCCCCCTCCCATCCTGAATGTTGCTTCCTCTCTGCTGCCCACTGATCTTTAGTGTTGGTGAGAATGTCAACGCACAGTCCTACATCATTTAGACTATCAACACTGGCGAGGACACTTCAGGGACGAGATCACGTCTTTATTCTGTTACATCAGCAGGATTTCATACGGGGCGGGGCCTAATGTGGTCCTCAGTCTCCTCAAATGAACTCAATTAGAAAAATCTAATAAAACTGATTTGATACTGTATATACATAATTATGAAGCAATTAAAAGGAAAATATGAAAGACATCCATCATTCATTCATCCATCAGTCCATCCATCCACCTGTCATCTATTAATCTACCATGTGTTCATTCATCCATCCATCCATCCATCCACCCATCCACCCATTCATTCATTCATTCATTCATTCATTCATTCATCCATCCATCCATCCATCCATCCATCCACCATTAATTCATCCATCAGTCCATCCATCCACCTGTCATCTATTAATCTACCATGTGTTCATTCATCCATCCATCCATCTACCGTTCTTCCATCCACCATTCAGTCATCCATCCATCCACCTGTCATCCATTAATCTACCATGTGTTCATTCATCCATCCATCCATCCATCCATCCACCCATCCACCCATTCATTCATTCATTCATTCATTCATTCATTCATTCATTCATTCATTCATCCATCCATCCATCCATCCATCCATCCACCATTCATTCATCCATCAGTCCATCCATCCACCTGTCATCCATTAATCTACCATGTGTTCATTCATCCATCCATCCATCCATCCATCCACCCATCTACCGTTCTTCCATCCATCCATCCATCCACCCACCTGTCATCCATTAATCTACCATGTGTTCATCCATCCATCCATCCATCCATCCATCCATCCATTCATTCATTCATTCATTCATTCATTCATTCATTCATTCATCCATCCATCCATCCATCCATCAGTCCATCCACCTGTCATCCATTAATCTACCATGTGTTCATTCATCCATCCTTCCATCTACCGTTCTTCCATCCATCCATCCATCCATCCATCCATCCATCCATCCATCCATCCATCCATCCATCCACCCATCCATCCATCCATCCATCCATCCATCCACCCATCCATCCATCCATCCATCCACCCATCCATCCATCCATCCATCCATCCATCCATCCATCCATCCATCCATCCATCCATCCATCCATCTACCATTCTTCCATCCACCATTCAGTCATCCATCCATCCATCCATCCATCCATCCATCCACCTGTCATCCATTAATCTACCATGTGTTCATCCATTCATCCATCCATCCATCCATCCATCCATCCATCCATCCATCCATCCATCCATCCATCCATCCATCCATCCATCCATCCATCCATTCATTCATTCATCCACTATTTATTCATCTGTCATCCATTTGTCCATTCATCCATCCACCATTGATTCCATCCATCATCCATCGATACGTCCACGCATCCATCCATCCATCCATCCATCCATCCATCCATTTACCCATGCATCCAACTGCCCATCCATGGCTCTATCCATCCCTCATCCAACCATGCTTCCATGCATTAATCCATCAATCCATCCATCTATATGTGGACATTTTAGTCTGAGTAAGACCACTTTAAAAAGAATCAAGTCTGGCTCCTTGGAAAGTAAAGATAGATACAATAAACTGATAAATGTGTCATCATTAGATAACAAAGAAAAGGCCCTGGAAGTGTTTTCCAACATTTCTGTCTGGAAGAACCCTCCTTTTTAATAACTGACATCTTGATTAGCCACCGTGACCTTCTGGAGAACAAAACGTGTCTTAATTTTAACCTCACAAATGAGTTTTTGACCCTTAAAAAGCTTCATAGCCGCCTCACACCAAACGTCTGACATCTAAATCCGAAATCTGACATTTCCTCTTTATCATTTAACTATTCTTCCATTTTTTACAGCATAAAAAGATCATTCTGCAGCTTAAAAACAGCAGTAAGCCCTTCTAAAAAAATATCTTTTTAATTCTCCTAATAAAAGCCGAAGCAGTGACAGTAATGGGGTGTTACCAATTGCTGCGTTCACTCATCCATCAGAGTCTTATTCTAATAAATCAAGTCCAGTGTTTTTTTCCTTAAATCACTCAGTGATTTGTGTCTCAGGGGCTCCATTTTATTTCTTCTACGCTCTTGATTGGATTACAATTTTTTCTATCAGTCAGTCTCTGCTTCACCCCCCCACCCCTACCCCACCCCTAGTATTCTCCAGCCCGGGCAGCAATTGCTGTTGATTGGAAGTGGGTGAGTCCATACTGCACAGAGGGGGTGTTAATGAATTCCAGCAGGCTGCTAAATGAGGACTTATTAAAGTGCTGCTGCCTTGCAGTTTGACATTTCGGAGCTTCTGGTGGAGTTTTTAAACCGCTTCCTCTGCAAATGTCATTCGCACCGACTATCTGGAAGGGCCGACCGTATGAACAAAATCCAGTGTTTGCTGCGGTTATGGAGAGAGAACAAGAGAGGGACCGGTGGGATTTTAGGTAAAATATGCTGGTTTTGTTTGTGTGGATCTCGTGATTAAATTGTGCAATGTTCTGTTTATTTTGTCTCTCCAGCTACGTCAGATGGGACACGTCAAGGTCTGGACAGCATGAAAGGAGGAGTGTGTGCTACGAAAGGCATGAAGGTGGTTCTGAAAGTGGGACAAAGTAGGTCCTTGCACCCTCCCTTTCATCTCTTTTTCACCTCTAGAGCAGCATTTCTTGGCTCTTTTTCCTTAAGGTGAGCTGTTCAGGTCTTTTTGATTCCTTTTGTTTGTTAAAATTATTAAATATTAGTTAATTTACCATTTTTTAAACAATTTAATAGATGGTTCTTTGAAAGGCCTCAGTTTGGAAAAATAGATTAGCTTTGTTAGATTGATGAGCTAACAGCTAGAACAAAGTGGATTTCTGCCATCTTGAAAAAATTGCTTCAATTTTACAAGTTAAGCCGAGCAGACAAATGCAGTTTTATAAACCTTCATGTTTCGGTTAATTTTGCATTACAATTATATATTTTTTCTAATAATTATAAATGACCCGCACTTAGTGCCTTCCTGAGTCAGAGGACTCCAAAGCGCTTTGCACTCCAGTGTATCATTCATCCATTCACACACACATTCACAAACTGTTGATGATGAGCTACATTGTAGCCGCAGCTGCCTGGGGCTCACTGACAGAGGCTCGAATAGTAAAAGCAGACAGCTGTAGCATTTTGTGTCAGACTTAAGTCCTTCAGACAGGAATATCAGACCGTCACGTTGATACACACGTTTTTTAACGTCCAGCAGAAACCCACTTGGGAAGATCTGAGCCAAGCCTCTAACACTCAATCGTCTCAAGTCACGTCTCACGTCTGTGCGGAGCCGAGCAGCTCACCTTCATTCGCAGAACCCTTCCACTTTCAAACCATCTATCTAATCTTCCTCTGTCTTCGACACACAAGCCGCACGAGCGCGGCCGCACGCGTAGTTTACCGTGCACGTGTGTTCTCGCCGAGCATATTAGGTCTCGTTAAGTGGCGCGAACAGCGCAGAAGTGTGGGATCAGTCAGCTCTAATGAGCCCTGTTGACTCCCTTCTCACTCTGCCTTTTAACTGCTACTGACTCATGCTGGACCCATGCACGCACACACACACACGTCTCACACACACACACACACGTCACACACACACACGCACGTGCATCAGACACAGAAGGTGAGGACGTGAACATGCAACACAGACTCTGAGGTGTCCATGAGCCCACACCTATCCCCTCTTTGCAGACCTGCCAGTGAAAGCATAACAAAATGACTCCAGTTGGTGTTAAAGCCCACAGTCAGTGATTTTTAATGACTCGTAGCCGTGCACACCTCTAATTTGTTTGGAAAATATTCACAGGTAATGACCCTCACATGCTGGTTTTTCAAGAAAGCAGCGAAAACAAAATGGCCAATTTAAGCGTTTTCACTGACCTGCACGTTTCTGCACATAATGGGCACCTGTCCTTCACATGACTGTTTAGCGCGCGCGCACACACACACACACACACACACACACACACACACACACACAGGTCTGTTTCTGTTTCTTTGATCCATGCCACGTTATCGGCTGGTGTTGGAGGTTTCTAAGCGAAAGAGAGAGAAAGTGGGTGCTGTAATGGCTCTATCAGCCTGTAACATCAGCACAGTCAGCTTGAAACAATAGGAATACCACAGAGAGAGAGAGAGAGAGAGAGAGAGAGAGAGAGAGAGAGAGAGAGAGAGAGAGAGAGAGAGAGAGAGAGAGAGAGAGAGAGAGAGAGAGAGAGAGAGAGAGAGGAGAGAGAGAGAGAGAGAGAGAGAGAGAGAGAGAGAGAGAGAGAGAAGAGAGAGATAGAGAGAGAGAGAGAGAGAGAGAGAGAGAGAGAGAGAGAGAGAGAGAGAGAAGAGAGAGAGAGAGAGAGAGAGAGAGAGAGAGAGAGTGAGAGAGAGATGAGAGAGAGAGAGAGAGAGATGAGAGAGAGAGAGAGAGAGAGAGAGAAGCACATTTTTTCCCACCTTTTTTTATTCTCTCTTCTTCATCAAACTCACTCACTCTCTTTTTAACTTTGCACGCCGGTCACCTCTCCCTCTCCTCCTGTCTATCCATCTTATCTGCTGCGTGGCTGAAAGGTCACGTCGGTGTTGTTTGTCGTCTAAATAAGCTGCGTGCCGCCTCGCGGCCATCTCTGATGCGATCTCAGCTCTGCTTCGAGGAACACGCACACTTACACCCTCATCCTCCCGAGCACATTCATCGACCTGTCCTGTCCATTCTCATTTTGTTTTTTATCTATCTTCTGGGACCCACCACATACATGCACCCCCCACCCCCTGTAGCTGACCACATTGATCCAGCCCCCTCCCCAACCCCTCCGACTTCTGTTTGGCTTACCGTCAAAAGGAAACAGCTTTACACTTTTCTAAATGTCAGTGCATAGAGGCTGACAGTTGTGCAGAAACATTCTAATGCACCAGTTTTTTCATGAATATAGTGCGTGTGTGCGTGTGTGTGTGTGTGTGTGTGTGTGTGTGTGGTCACTGATTTGCTGAACTTTAAATCCATAAGCAGGGAGTGAATCATACCTTGATAGGGAGCGATAAAATAACCTGGGAGATAAAAAAAATAACACTTGAATTGTTTGCGCTCATTAAAGCTAAAATAAATGGGCTTTTAGTCAGATATTCCTATAAAAATAGTCTTTAAATTTTCAAGACTCTACCAAATTCATCATTCTGTTAAGCTGAACAAAAGTAAATAAATAAAATAAAATAAAAAGCAGCTATTTTATGGGAAATAAAGAAAGATAATTGATGCAATAAAACAGTTTTAAAGCACATGACTTAAACCGTTGTGATCTAACATCAGAACACAAGTGAGATTAACACACAGTTTAATTTTAACAAGCAGTGACGAATTAGATTACGATGTATAATATTTTCTGGGCAAATCGAGGCTCTAAAATGCAAATGAGTGTGCTCTTTGGAAAACAGATCATTTCTGCTTCTTGGGTAATTTTAAAGCATATTTTTCCCTGTCAAGGAAATAAAAAGGTAGTAGAGGATCACAGAGTAGGGAGACACTCTGTTGCTGTTTTGACTGATCTCTGATCAGTTTTTGATAAACCACTGTGATCAAGTTAGAATCAGGATCCATAAACACCAGCTGGTGATGTTACAGAGAACACGCTGATTATAAACAGTGTTTATGAAGCCGGTGATGGTGGAGGTAGCTCTGTGCAGCGTTCTGACTCAAAAACCGCAGAAGGATGAGAGACAAAGAGCGAAATATTTTCACAATAAGTTAAATGGAGTAAAAGTGAAACCAAGTCAGAGATTCCATGATGAAAACAGCTTTTTTTCCCAGCTCATTGCGCAGAGCCGGTGCCTCGTCACAAAACAGCGACAATGAAAGGTGGGACAAGTCATCAGGACCCTGATCTGACACGTGGGATCACTACTTCATTTGTTTTGCCTGCTTGGCGTTTGCTGCTAAAGTAGCTAATATCCAGTCAGGAGAGAAGTTCATGGTGAGCTTCACCACTAGAATGAAGTTGAGGTTCAAGTATCAGCACGGTTCAGAACTGGTGTGATCCACCTTACGGGGTTTCTGGGGAATGAAAATTATTACTGTAACGATATGATTACAGGTATGATAGGACATGAAAGTCTTTGACTAAGCAGGAAAGGAGCAAACGATTCAGACTGGAATCAGGACTCAAACTCAAGTCCAGACTCGAGTTCCATTTAAGGGACTGACTTGACTCAAGAAGAATGAATGATACACAGACTCTAGATGCACAAAATGACGACCGTAGAGGACAAGACTGGGACCACTCAATGCCCCCGTGCTATCACCAAGCTAACACATTAGCACGTGGTAAAATAACGAAATATTCTAAAAACAAAACAATCAACATGTCACCCGTATACTTACAAAGGCTTTTGGGATCCATTTTTTGCCGCTTATCCGGAGTCAGGTCGTGGGGGCAGCAGCCTAAGCAGGGAGGACCAGACTTCCCTCTCTCCAGCTACTCGGACCAGCCCTTCTGGGGAATCCTAAGGCGTTCCCTGGCCAGCTGAGAGACATAGTCCCTCCAGTATGTCTTGGGTCTTCCTTTAGGCCTTCTCTTGGTTGGACGTGCCCGGAAAATGTCACCAGGGAGGCGTCCAGGAGACATTTCAAATGCCCGAGCCACCTCAACTGGCTCCTCTCAATGTGGAGGAGCAGCAGATCTACTCCAAGCTCCTCCTGGATGACCAAGCTTCTCACCCTATCTCTAAGGAAGAACCCAGCCACCTTATTCACTACCCAAAACTCGTGACCATAGGTGAGGGTAGGAACGTAGATCGACCGGTAAATCGAGAGCTTCACCTTCTGGCTCAGCTCTCTCTTCACCACGGCAGACCTCTACAACGCCCGCATCACTGCAGACGCAGTAATGATCTGCCTGTCAATCTCATGTTCCAGCTTTCCCTCACTCATGAACAAGATCCCGAGATACTTAAAGAGCAAATTGCAGGTTAAATTTTTTTTTCTAATTCATATAAAATGCTGTCCAAAAATACTATTAAAAAAGCTTATTGTGGATATTTGGTTTTAAAATACATAACAGCAGTTTTTCTAGTTGAACATGGCCTTTCTCAGCAAAGCTTTTCTCTAAATGTGAACCTCTGACGTAACCAAAGGGAGTTAGAAGCTCGGCGCTGCCTCAGCTCAGTGTGGAGAGTGGCTGGTTTTAGGGTAGAGAGGTCATGTGATCGAGTCAGTGTGTGTGTGTAGTGTTGGACTGTGTTCATGTTGATAAACTAGAGTGTGTGAAGGCTGTCCCAACTCCAGCCTGTCTGGACATCGAGCCCCCGGGTTTCCAGATCAGAGAAACAACGCATCTATCTCTGTGCCGGAGGGAGTTTTGTGCAGCTGAAAAGACGGACTTCTGTAGCCCGCATCGGTCGGTACCGGGTCAGGGAGGTCCGCGATGGGCTCCAGAGACCCGAGGCGGGGTTTAAAAAATTAAATTCGGTTTTCTGGAGCTCCGATCACCGTCAGAACCAGGTCAGAACCGATCACCAGAAGAGACATGCGGCTGAGCGGGCCAGCTGGTTTCCAGGTTGGAACCAGATCAGAACCGCCGCCTGGACCACCAGGAGAGGATACACGGCTTTTAAAAATACCAGCTCGACTGTCTCGCTCGTGTTTGGGTCAAATCCAGCTCACAGGAGCCCGCATGAGCTCCAGAACCAGATGACAGGCGTCTCTCTCCATCTCTCTAAGCTAAACTACGATGATGAACGGATATTAGCGAGTATGAGACCGTTGACAGACTCTCATTGGTATTAATATTATATTAACTGACCGATACTATTTTAATTGTCTGGCGCACGATAGTAATCAGTACAATATTGTGATGTTAGCACACCAGTTTAAGCTAACATGGTTAACTCACCAGACACCTGCTGCTCCCCCGCTACAGCTCGTCCTTAATCTCTCGGCTTTGGCCGATGGTTTCTCCCTCTGGTTTGTCTCTGCTCTCTGGGGCGTGCAGCAAACTCATAACTTTATGGTTTTGGTCCATCATGAGTATAAATGTAAACATTTAAAGTTTCCTCTGCGTCAGAGCCGGCATTATAATCTATATTTTTCACTGGATTAAGCTAACAGGACTCCCTCAGATGACGTCACTTGGTTTGGCAAAAAAAAAAAAAAACTTTCTCACATAAATGACTCTAAAAGCCTAAATAATTCATGTTTGTGTAAAAAAAAATTTAAACCGAGTTTCTATTCTGTTTCTCTAAACATTGGTTCACGGGAGTCTCTAACCTGCTATTTGCTCTTTAAACTCCTCCACTTTTGGTTTTGGGAGTTTTGGGTATTAAACGTATCCAGTAATCTGACCTAGCTTAACAAGCTAACATTAGCATTGGCTACACGCTAACTCTGACAACAGCTATTTTACTTACCTTTCTAGGTGAAAACACTAAAAGTGGTGGTTAAAATTGGATGTTGGACTTGCACAGGAAGATGCTTTTTAGGACTTGGACTTTAACTTGGCCTGTAGGACCTAGTGACCTGACTCAAACTCAGCTTTGACTGATCCTGTGTGAGTTGGACATGCACTCGGACTTGAACACTAAGGATTGGAGTAGGACCTGGACTGGAGAGAAGGTGACCTGACTACTGGGATGATTCAAGTCTTGATAATGGACCCCCCCCCACACACACACACACACACACACACACACACACACACCACCATCGCTATGACTCAGACCATGCCTATAAGCATTCACAATAGCCTAGCTGCTTTTTAAGAAGTTACATGAATTTCAAAGTCTCACTGTTAGCCAGATGGCCCAAAGAAATTCGTATTTTCGGAACCATCTAATACAGCTTTTGACAAGCGGCCCTCATCCAAATACTGTGTGTGTGTGTGCGTGTGTGACATAAAAAGGCACTTTATTGCCATCACCATCACACCGGGCTTGCCAGACAGATGGCCTGATTTAGCGACTACTGATTACAAGCCGTTATGGCCTCATGAAAAGTCACTCAGTCCAAAAAAACAAGCGGACTGTCTTTAGTTTCCCATTCCAACAAACGGAAAAGAGCTCCTGCGCGACACATCGAAGCCCCGTCAATATGTGCTCCTCGGTAACGTGAGGTGGAAAGAGGGGTTTGTTACAGCTCCTGGCTGGGTTCTGTCCTTACTAATGTCACAGATTGGGTTTGTGGACCGTCTTATCTCTGTTTTTTCTGCTCCTAAGGTCAGTATGGACTGCCTCCAAAGAAGGACCCGTCAGCGGGACGCACCACCCTCAGAAACCCAGGTAAGCAGGAGACCACATGAACACAATCCCCATCAGATCCATCCACAAATCCGATGGAGGGAGGGACAAGAGAAGGCTGGTGGATATAAAGAAAAGCAGTGGGGTGGGAGGAGGGAGGGGGCGACAGATGGAGAATGTGCAGCGGTGACATCTGCGGATCTCTCTGTTTAATTCCATATTTCTCCATTCTCTCCATCCCTCTCCTCCTCTGAGCTAAGTGCTGCGGGCGGGGATTGGATGGCTAATGGCTACCTTGGGAGGAAGACAAGAAGAAAAGAGTAGGGAGGAAAAGAGAGAGAGGACAGCGACATTTCAGAGAGTTATTATTGTCATTAGTTTGGATTCTGTAGAAAGCCAATGATGGAAGTAAATGTGAAAAGATGAGGGGAGACGAGGAGAAGAGGCATGAGGGAGTGATGGAGCAGAGACACAAAAGAAAAGAATAATTGAAAAGCAAAGAGGAAAACAACAAGATGAAAATGAGGCGAAGCTGGGGTCATGCTCCACCTCGGTGCCACTCAGTGGAGGAGAAAGAACACCATTCACACTCAGCTGCTTCCATTCCTCTTTTTCTTCTTCATGATGTCAGATTTGGGCCCCATCACAAATGTGTAAACAGATGCATTCACACCTCCTCGGTTCACTTGTCCATAAATCGTATATATGTGAGGGATTTAAGTGTGAAATAAGCAACGATAGTATGCATTTGTGTCCACGCGAACGATTTAATCGCTCACATAACAACAGATTTCACACCGTTTTGAGTCCCAAGCAGGTGGGCACTAACACTTAACCGCACACCCAAAAGGATTCTCCTGACAAGAGTTTTAGGATCATTAGTATGTGCGAATGTTTCAGATCTTCTCAAATCGTTCATTTTCGTTTTATTCTAATTTCCAATGTAAACAAATCCAAACAGACGAATGAGAGCTGAGCGAGTAGAAACCCTGAGAGTTTACTCCCTGTCACCGAATTTGCTGCAACCTCCGCTCATCCAAATCAAAACACGCTGGCAATTATACACTCACCGCTAACTCCCTCTTTACAGGCCAGCGAGAATGAACATCCATAAATTAGTTTCGTATCAGAGAATAAGAAGCTTCTGATTATTGTGATCTGCATGGTGTGAGGAAGAGCTACCAGAGCAGCATTAGCTTTCATTATGCAAATAGGACTGTTAAAACAGGAAGGGCCTAGCTACAGTACAGAAACACTAGCTTTGGTAGGACAGCTTCAGTCGTGCATGGGCGTTAACGCTTTATTTCACTACTTCATAGACTTTAGCTACATCTGGTTCCTCTGGTGGTTAGATATTTATGTAATATTGTCACTTACTTGTGAGTAATTGGTGCAATTTCAACTAGGTATGTTGGATAACCAATATACCGAAGACTACCTCTCCTACTACCCTGAAAATTTCCAGTACCAATATATGTGGCGTCCCCCCATCAAATAACAAAACAGTAGCTAACCAACATCTCATATCAACTGTCATGCATACTTAAACTTTAAACAATACGCAATATATGACACCAATTTCAATTAAAGTTAGGTCAGTTGTGCCAAACAAACAAAAATATCTAAAAACTCAATAATGAGCACCATGAGCCCCAAAAGCTCACGGGTTTGTGTTTTTAATCACTGGACACACAGTTAAAGTGGGTCAGAACCATGTATAGAGCTGCTTTCTCAGTCTACTGAGTTTATAAACAGTTAGTACATGCAGCCAATATCCGGGTTATGATCGGGTTTCTGAGTTGATCAGAATAACCCGTCTACAAGCACAAATAGAAAGAGTTACCTCTAACTTGCATAACCCGATGTAAATGCGGACGTTGGGGTAGCGTCAGGACGTATGGACTACGTCCAGACGCAATATGCGTCATTTCCGGTTCTTCTTGTTCCGGTATCCGTGAAAACAACATGTTTCCCAGTTCGGAAGAGATAGCGACCGCGTTTCTTTGTGCTTTAGTTTCTTCGTCACTCCAAAAGTGTGGTGCTGTGCCACGACTCGCCATTTTGCTCCCAACTTGTTGTTTACTTCCGGTGTTCTGGCGCATACAAGACGTCTCGCTACTCAAAAGACCAAGATTCCTTGCGAACAGAGCATGCGCAGAACACACGCTTTGATGGGGATATCCCGATATGCGTTCACACGACCAAACATTCGGGTTAGAAAAGGGTGTAGCAACCGGGTTTTTAAAAACCCGGTTATGAGCATATCCAGGTTTTTGGCGGTGTTTACAAGGACCTGCGGAACCGGGTTATTGTGAATATTCGGGTTTTAAAAGGGTTACTGGCTGCATGTAAACGCACTGAGTGTTTGAAACACCTTTTAAAAACATTGTTGGCTTTTGATCCCTACCAGGTCCGTGAGTTTAACACAAGTTTAATTAAATGTAACCAGTTGAATTTAACACCAATTTTTACTCCAGTTTTTAAATGTCGTTTTAACAAAAGGTACAATTTAGCTCTCGTATGTCGATGAAAGAACACACCAAGAAAAATGCTATGAGATAATTTTTCTCAATAATTTAAGGCAAAACGTTTTATTTTAATGTAATGGGATTTTTTTTTCGTGAGATAAATATTAAAGTTAAACTTTCTAAGTTTTCAATTAGAAGATGTTTTTTTCAGAATTTATTTTAAAAGTTATTTTAATGTCATTTTTCTTCCAGTGTTTTTAACACATGGTTCAATAAAATAAAGAGACTAAAATGTGTTCTACTGGGAGGTTGACCAGCAGTCCATGGGGATAACTATTTTTTAAAAGACATAACATCTAAATTAACGTTATTTTGTTTCACTTTTGAAGTTGGAGTCTATTCTTTATTGTGTTTGGGCTGCAAACACATTCAACCGTAAATATAAAACCTCGTTGTTGACAAAATGTTGGACACAAACTGCATTGTGTCTAAGTTTCATTATGATTTAACTTGAACTCATTTAATACTAATGGTATAAAGAGTGTTCATAAACAACAACTGTTGTTTAGAATGATGTTTATTAACACAACCTACAGGAATAAACCCTGTGATCCTACAGGAAGTCAGCAGAAAAGAGCTTTAACTTGACAATCTTGTCGTATAAAACTAAACTCATTTTAAACGTTTTTTTTTTCCTTTTAAGAAACATTTAAAGCCTGAAATGTGAAATAGTGATAGCCCAGACCAACGTACATCCGAGACATCAACCCATTTGGTACTGAATTGTTAAAATGCAATCCAGACCCATTGTTTTTGATGTGAAGTGTGAATTAGGCTGCAGAACCACAGCAGAAGGCAGAGGACAGCTGGCGGAGGAACTTTTATTTCCTGCCTGTTGCATGTTTGTCTCTGAGGCAAATTCATTATGGATATAAAGTGGTTAATAGAAGCAAGGGGGAAGTAAAGTATTGGGCTCTAAACTGGGGGTGGTAAAAGCAGGAAGACGGTGGGAGAAGTGGAAAACAGGGGGAGCGAGGAGGAGGTAAAGGAAGAGGATATAATAAGGAGAGCCGGTGAAAGGCGGCGGTCATAATGGAGATGGAGAGTGAGGGATGTTAAGTTAATGGAAGGAGGGAAAAAGCGGGAGGAGGACCAGGGAGCATAATCGACGTCCGGCATTTGGGTTTGGCTCCCAGTCGGTCGGGCTCAACGGGGAGCCGAGCAGCGTGGAGGGATGAGGTGTGCTTGTGTGTGTCCGCTCACACGGGTGTGTACGCCAGGCTGTTAGCGTGTGAGTGTGTCTTTGTTGCTAGGCACTGAGCTCAGAGCAAGGTAGGTCATTACGGCTACAATAACCCAAAGATAGAGAGGACCACGGAGCAAGGAGGGAGGGGAGGCGGGGGGTCGGGGAAACAGAAGAGACGCAGGAGTCAGACGGAAAGAGATGTGTGCCACGAATAATGATAGACCAATCCAGGACTCTATCTCAGCCTTAACCAGTCCACAACTCTGGTTTACACGGTCAACCGTCACCATTTCAGACAACTTTGTAAGCACAAGCACAGATGCACCAACACATGCACACCCCGAGACCATCGTTCACCTGCTGAGCTCTGACCCCAGACCTCCTGCTGGGACTGCTGTGAACTGGGAGGCTGTGAACATCTTGGGTTTCAGTCAGACATGCAGCAGACGAACAGCCCGATGGACAAAAAGACGGATACAAAAAGAGACGGCAGAGTGTGTGGTCCAATGGCAGAGCCCGGCCCAGCAGGCTCTCTTCATGTGGCTGGCTGTAATACTAAATAAATACTGTTTTTAGGGTTGGGGAAATACAGTTTGTTACCTTGACATACACTGTGGCTCAGCCATGGCTTTCCACAAAAGCATACAGTGTTCGACGCTCTCTCCATCACTGCGGACATTCCTCGCTGTTTTATATGCACTGCTGTCCACTTCATCACGTCAATAAAGAGACCGCAAATAAGCTTCTGTGAGATTTGCTGCATACTTGCTGCATTCCACTGGGTTAAGCCGAGGCAGCCTCCGCTCATTGAGCTAAACCATCACCATTACTCATGTTGTTGTGGTGCAGAGCCATAAGGAATGGTATGCTTTTTTAAAAGCTTGTGAAAACACAAGTTGTGAAAGCTGGCTGTGTTATTGTTCTGGTTTGTTTTGGAGGATTAACGGGTGTAAAATGTTCAGCAGCTTTGAGGATCTTGGAGTAATATTTTCCTGTGCTCTTTGCAGGTGGAAACTCCACCCAGGCCCGAGGGCCTTTTGGTGGTGAAGGTGGTGATGAGAACGGCCCCCTCCAGCCTTCAAACATTGCCCTCATCGCAGGGGCAGCGGGAGGCTCTGCCTTTCTTCTGTTGGTCACCGCCGTGATCTGCGTTGTGTGCTACCGGCGGCGGCATGCAAAGCACTCAGACACCCACCACCCTCCGCTGTCCCTCTCGTCCCTCACCAGCCCGAAGCGGGGAGGCGGTGGCGGCATCACCAGCTCCAACAACAACGGCTCAGAGCCCAGCGACATCATCATCCCCCTACGGACGTCGGACTCGGCCTACTGCCCGCACTATGAGAAGGTGAGCGGCGACTACGGGCACCCTGTGTACATCGTCCAGGAGATGCCGCCTCAAAGCCCGGCCAACATTTACTACAAAGTATGAGACATCCTCAGACCTGGACGACTAGACACCTCCCTCTACCAACCGACCCCCGCTTCCCTTTCTTCCAGTGAAGCCACAGCAAAGCTTCTCACGACAGTTTCAGCCCTGAACGCCTCAATACTACCAGTATTGTCCCCTTGGACCTGCCCTCTTTCACCCCAGCTGTAGTTGTATTCCTAGCTGAATACCCCCCCCCCCCCACCTCGTTCAACACAACTGTGCCATTAAGTGTGTGTGAGGGGTAATGTCGTTACCGCACATAACCCTCCTTAACAAGGCCCTCACCATTGGGCCAGAGGCTCTGAAAGCCCCCGTCTTGTTAGCTCAGAGCTAAATGAGCCCCACCAGATCGTCAACTCCCCCATTAACGTTGGTGTGTATGCATTACACACACTATTTTTCTAGGAGTGTGTACCTGACGCTGGGACACGAGATGTTTTAAAAAAGACAGAAAAGAAGAAAAACCAAATGAAAAGACTTGAACTCTAAGAAGGACTGGACCCATGAACCCACTCTGCACCGATGAACTATGATTCTCAGAGACCACACCCGCCTTGCCCACCACCCCCCAACCCCTCTCGGACCTCTATCAGTCAATCAGAGACGAGCCCCTGCTTAGTGACTCAACAATAGGCTCCTAGTTTGTTCGTGTTTGTTTAAGTTGAGAGAAAGTGGGGGGGCTTCGGACTCGTCCGAGCGGGACGCCCAAACGACGCACACATGACCACACCCAGGCCTGACGAGGTCTGACCAATCGGTGATGCTCAGATTCTTGTATATTTTAATAATATGTGTGATTGCAAGGGTGTGTGTGTGTGTTGGATAATTATTATGGCGCTGCTGCTCCACATTAGATGTGTGTGTGCAGTTACTGAGCTTCAACAAGTTAACTTGCGTGCGCGTGTGTGTGTGTGTGCGCGCGCGTGTATGTGTGTGTGTGTGTGTGTATGTTTAGACTTGTCTTAAATACCAAAACACAAAATAGTGAGCGAATATTAAAAGAAGTGAGATTTTCTATGGCTATCAACACTTATAGATTATATATATGAATATCCAGTAAATAATTTCTAGATGTTTTTTTATTGTTTTATTATTTTTACCCGCTCTGTTAAACAAGTAGACATTTTTACCTGCTCTTGATTTTCAAACGGCGACCTTATTTGTACATTAATTTAATCCCTTCTTTAATTCTTTTCTGATGAACAGAAGTTGTTTTTCTGTCATTCACTCCCTCGCCCCCCTCCTCCCACGAGTCTACTCTGTGTATATTTTTATAGCTCATTGTACTATGCTGTAGTTCTGAGGTCTAGACCTCATTCGTGGAAGTGTTGAGGTAGAACCGTCGATGAAAGTTTTCTTTTTTTTTTTTTTAAATGCAGAAGTGAAAAGAATCTGGGGTTAGGGTGGGTGTGTGTGTGTGTGGGGTGATGTTGGGTGGGGGAAAGGGGGGAGGCAAGAGAGGACTACATGAAAAACAAGAACAAAGGAGAGAGAAATGGAGAGCTGTTTCGGGAGGAGGAATAAAGGGGCATCTAAATGCGGAACTTTATGGAAAAAAATGAGGGGGAGGGAGATGAGGGAAGCAACCAGGAAAAGAGGAGCGAGAGATGAAGGATCCGGAGGATGGAAGGATGGAGAGAGAGAGAGCACATGAAAGAGTGGCTGGTGAAGAGGAGAAAGCGCTGAGGTGCTGGACTGAAATCGGATTTCAGGAGTTGTCGGACTCCAACCTTGGAAAGGATAGACCTCGACACACACACACACACACACACACACACACACACACACACACACACACACACACACACACACACACACACACACACACACACACACACACACACACACAGACACACACACACACACACGCACGCACGCACACGCACGCACGCACGCACACACGACTTCTTTACATTAAACATGAGAAGATTTATTCCTCTTTTCTGCCAAAACTTGTGTTGAAAAGCATCACACATGTTCCCATTTATTCCGAGAGATACCCCCCTTCCCAATTCCTCAGCGAGTCTCCGATCGACACACAGCCTCCCACACCACCTGAAACACACGACCTCACACAACGTTCCGACTGCGACTCACAGCCTTGCAAACACTCCCACCCACCCACCCGACAGCGACAACTTTCATATGACTCTGTTTCCGTGGCTCACCTGATGGACATGGAAGGGATTTATTCAAACAAAAAAGGTGTGATTGTGTTGTGTTTTCTCCTTCACACACACACACACACACACACACACACACACACACCAGTGCCCTGCACTTAAACCTCATAGAGCTACATCACGAGAGGTGCTTTACGTTCACCTGTGCATACTAATAAAGCTGTTTTGTGTTGCTCAGACATGTTTTTTGGCTTTTGTGTAAACTTACGGAGAGCTTTTTTTTTTTTACTTTTTTCCAACACACACACGCACACACACACACACACACACACAGAGCCTCCAGTGTTATTGCCATGTTTTCCTGTGTGAAGCCAGTGTTAAGATCTGAACCTTTTGACATTTCTCAGCTGTGTTTTGTATCAGTATCATATAATCTTTCATACTTGACGTGTCACATTCGTCTGAAATGACTTTGTTCAACACACGATGATGGTTTTTATACCATGGGGAAGTTCGGATTGTATTTTGACTGTGTTAAAAAATTGATTTTGAAAACAAGAGAAGGGGGTAAAAGCACCTGAAATTCTTCTTTTTCTTTTGCTTTGTTGTAACTGCCGACTTGTGTTTTCTTTTTTATGTATCCTGTTATCTTCTGTCTATTTAAACATGCTCAGAGGATTTTAAAAGAACACCCTCCGAGCCTAATGAAGTGTCTTTTATTCTCTGCGATGCTTTTGGGGCTCCGGAGTCCAAAATGCAAAGAATTGAGAAAAGACCACGGGGAAAGAAAAGCAACATTTTTATGAACTTTGCATCAAGTCAAGCAAAAAAGACCCATTTCTGGTTCATTTTTCCTCTCAGCAGAATGTCAGCTATCTCTTGGACTTTTAATTTTTTTATGTTAAATTTCATGTGGATGTTTTTCAAAGTTGTGTCTTTAGCTCTCACTGTTTGTGTTTGACCGGTCGACTCAAAAGTGTTTCCAAAAAAAAAAAAAAGAGAAAACCTCAGACCCAGCCATGTTTGTCATGTTTTCAAAGAGGAAGAAAGTGCAGTTTCTGTGCTACAGAGGAGCGAGAGAAAGTGAAAAAGAAAAAAAAAACCCTGCTGCCTCACCTCCACGTTGGTAAAACTGTGTGTGCGTAAACGTGCGTGAGCTTCTTCGTGCCAATAGCCAGCGAGCGGAGGCCGTGGATCGCCGCGGCGCTCATCCGTCAGACTTTGTATTCGGGACACATCTGTACGAGAAAGGTTTTTATTTCTGTGTGTGTGTGTCCTCTCCTTTTCCTCTCTCCTTGTTGCCTACTCATCACTGCAACTCCCCCTCCCTCCCTTACCTCCCTTTCTTTACCCCCCCTTTCCCCTCCAACACGCCTCTAAAGAGAGGAAAAATTAGTACATTCCTGGTTTGGAAAAAAAAGAAAAGATTGAATAAAAAAACAAACAAAAAGTTTAAGCACCACTCTCTTGGTTCTGTTGTGTGATTCATTATGTAGTGAAGTCTTTTGTTCTGTGAGATCCAGAGGCCCAGTAACCTAGCAGGTTTCACCCCTTATCTCTCCTTCTGATTGGTCTCAGCGGGGGTGGGGGTGGGGTGGGGGGGTTGTGGCTCCTTCAGGGCCTCTGCTAATAACGTTTCCATCTCACACACACATATGCATCAGCACTCCCTCCGGAGTCATCAACAAGTTATCAAATCAAGCTTAATTTGTGTCAGGGGTTGCTAGGCAACCTACTGACAAAGCTGATCTCATTTCGTCCCTTCCTCTGTCTTTTTCCTGTCCAAGTTTTTAAGGGACACTTGGAGGGGAAAAACTAACTTAAATAGAAATATTGGTCTACTTCCCATTTTTGAGAATAAATTCAAATTAGTTAGAAACTATTTAAATGTAAGAACAAAGTCAAATGTAAACTTGATATAATACAAAAATGGTTGAAATGTCAACATGCAGAAAAAGAGTTAAATTAAGTAAAGGAAAGCAAAAACTTTTGTTAAGTAAACATTTTAAGGAAAAAAAAGTCGTGGAAAGTTTACATGTTGACAGAAAGTTGACACGTTAAGAAAAAAGTAGACATGTTAAAAAAAACATAGACTCACTGAAAGACGGTTGACGTGTTGATGGAAAGTTGAGAATTCAAGAAAAGTTGACATGTTGAAAGACAGTTTACATGTGGATGGAAAGTTGACACAGTTGACGTGTTGAAAGTTGACAGATTAAAGGAAAGTTGACATGTTTAGAGAGAAAATTGTTTATGTTGACAGAAAGTTGCTAAGAAAAAACTGGAGATGTGGTGGAAAATGTTTACAATTTACACGTAGATGGAAATTTCACACATTGAAGAACAGTTGACATGTTGTGGAAATGTTTACATGTTGACAGAAAGTGAACATGTTGAGAGACAGTTTACATGTGGATGTAAAGTCGACACATTAAAAACAGTTGACATGTTGAGGAAAAAGTTGACATGTTCAGAGAGAGCTGACGTGTGAAAAAGTGTTCATGTTGACAGAAAGCTGTTGAGAAAAATCTTGAGATGTTGAGGAAAACGTTGAAGGGCAGTTGACAGTTTGAGAGACAATTTACATGTTGAGGAAAAGTTAACATGTTTAGAAACAAATAGCATATTGAGACAAAGTTTTCATGTTGAAAGACAATTGATACATTGAAGGACAGGCGACATGTTGAATGAAAGTTGACATGTTAAGTAAAAAGTTGACGTGTTGAGGAAAACACTGACATGTTGAAAGACAATTAGCCTTTCGCCAAGCCCCGCCCCCCGTAGTTACTTTTGCTAAGTCTGACAAGCAAGTGGTTAAATACTTACCAGCACGGCAGATTGCCACGATGGAAAGAAGTAGACAGATGTGTGTCAGCGACATCTTTTGGAGCAATTCCTCCAGATCAAGGAGAAAGGGTTACAGTATGCAGTGAAGGAATATATTCAAAATATATGAAAATGCAACAAAGGAGACATGTCTACTACCGAGGCTAATGCTTGCCGGTCACAAGCTAACGTGTGTGTGTGTGTGTGTACACACGTTTTATACATGAGCATCATCACCTTTTAACTTATTTACAGTAACATATAAATGTAACATGTTTACATGCTTATCAAATTTTTAATTTATATCTATTTGCTTATCATTTTTACGCAACTTTGGATAGCTTCCAAGCTTCTCCTTAGCTGGGTTAGGACCTAGCACAGCACTTACGGGATTGGGGAACTTGGGTAGGTTTTCCATTGATAAAATGCTACACGAAAGATGTAAACTAAATTAGGTATTGTTGCTTGTTGGGGCGCTGTGTAAGACTTTGCTGTAAACTGACAAAGAATAAAGTTGTGGAGCTGAGAGACCCAACACACAGCAGCTAATGTAGCTAGTGTTAGCTAACATGTTAATTTAGAGAGCAGGTTAACATTTTAGCAATGACTCCATGTTAATCATAACATTGGGCCATTTTGTTTTCTTGCTTCTAGATCAGTGGTTCTCAAACTTATTTAGCCGTGCACCTTCTTCTATGTCCTGATTATGTCGAACCCCCCCCCCCAGCCCCCACAGCAGTGTGTAGCTATGGGGCTACATATATATATATATATATATATATATATATATATATATATATATATATATATATATATATATATTTAATACATCCCAAACTTCCTAAATATGGCACAATATGAAATTCCAGGGCAACAAAATGAAGTACAGAAAAAGGTGAACATTTTAATTAAATCAAATCAAAGATACTTTATTATTCCCAGAGGGAAATTATCACTGTTACATGACAATGCACACAAACCACATTGGGATCCATTTTTTCCCTAGCTTGTAGCTAAAATTAATATCAGATTCTACCAACAAAACGGTTCTAAAACAATTCACATGTAAATGTTTTGCATATTTATTGCAAAATCTAATTTTTCCGCTGCTTCAGTGCTGCAACAACGTAATATTAATAAGAAATGATCATACCTTATGTTTTACAGCGTTGTTAAAGCTTCAGATTATTAAGAATGCGTTGTTTCAGCTGTGAGATTAGTCGAAACAATGTTTGTCACGGACTCCATGGAAACGTTGAGAATTCACTAAAAGTGGCTTTCAGTCGGTTTTGTGACTGGCATATTTTTGTGAGTTTAGAAAAGAAGCAGATGAGACAGCGTGTCCGACAATTTTGTTTTTCATCTGACAATATTAGAACATGTCCGTAATGTCTGAGGTGTTTTTACAAACAATGTATACTTAATACTCCTGGAGAGGGTATGAATTACACAGAGGCTCGTGGTGGAGTCCAGTTATAGGGGTGGGGGTGTTCTGTTCAGCCTTGGCCCCCAAAATGCCTTGAAACGGCCCTGGTTGTTTTGAAGGTGATCTGAATTGTATCAAATGTATAAATATTACATGTGTATAACTTATTGTTTTATACAGATAAAAAGATTTAGTGGCGATAAATCTACCTACATTTTACTTTCAAACACTTTTCTTTGCTTTCTTTGTCTCTCATCTTCCTGCATCTCCTCTAAACTTTCCAGAAAAATTGCTGTCTGTATTCTTACTTTTTTACCTCATCAGTTACTTTTGAGCACATCCATGGACGTAATTTTTTTTGGGGGGGGGGCATGTTCCCCCCCCCCACTTTTTCAAAGTCGAGTTTTGACCCCTGCACCTTTTACCATCCAAAAACAATATTACGCTATATTAAATTGACACTGGTTGAGCTCTAGGACCAAGCGGAAAACAACCGTTTGTGTTGAAGCCTGGTTCCCATTAGAGCATACTGTAGAGATACCCCCCCCCCCCCACTTCTAAAGTTAAAATGATGTCCATGAGCACATCTAAGAGATCTTCTGACTGCAAAGCGGAGCGCAGTGTCGATGCTGCGTCAGTGAGGTGAAAGCAGCGCAGCACAAGATGAGTGAGTGCGTCAGGCACGATCATAGTTTTTTGGTTGCGCCACTTTGAGAATGTGCCGTGTGCAGAACGCAGCTGCCTAGAGCGCACCAACGCTCCCCCATAATTTGATCCCTGCTTCTGGATGAAAAACTGGACATTATCATGAGTACAAGAACCATCCCGGACGCCCCGGACAGAGAGTGAAAAGTGGACATGTACGGCCTCCTGGTTTGATGCCAGCTCTGGTTTTCTCCACGCAGCTTATGGAAGATTTAAACACGAAGCGCAAGACTGTCTTAAATGCGAAACAGAGCCTGGTCATGCTACTCTCCAGGCCAGCGCATGTCGGCACGGAGCGCACGCGGGGTGTGGGGTGGTGGTGGTGTGGGTGCGTTCAAGAGTTGGGGTTGCTAGGCATTGCTTGGCCCAATCTTGAGCGACCGCCTGGCGCCGCCAATGAACGGTGCAGAGGAGTTGGCGCTCTGTCTGAATCACTGCGGCGCAGCTCCGTGAAAGGCTGAGCAGAGCATGCTTTTGTCAGGGCTTCTCGTTAGGTGCTATTTCAGCCAAATTTCTTAAACCACTCACTGCAGCATGCTCTTCTGCACCCACTGGCTGCGGTTTCACTGGATTGCGTCTGTGACACGGGACAGACTTGCTCCAAGCTCCCGCAGCCATTACACTTTTCACCTCACGGCGCGCACCCCCTAGCGGCAGCTCGTGCACCCCCAGGGGTGAGCGCACCATAATTAGGGAATCCCTGTTCTACATAGCAGATATAGGGAGCCTAATGGGCCATTCCCATCTGTACCAGGTCGGCCCGGGCCGGGTAGCCCCAGTGGGCCCCAGCCTGGCCCGGTTGATTCCACACATCCTTGTCTTAAGCCCATGTGGGCGGATTCTACCCACCAATCAGAGGCTTGCTCTAATGGAAGGTGTGAATTTGCTGTCAGCAGTGGGTGTGTTGGCCCTGGTCGGCCTGAAGCAGACCCCCTCAAGAAGAGGGCTGAGAATGAGCCTTGGTTGGCCCGGAAAAATACCAGGCCACCCAGATATGTAAACAACCTAGCTACCCAGCCCGGGCCGACCCGGTACAGATGGGAATGGCCCATAAGTCACTTCCGCACCAAGGGGTCCCCGGAAGAACGACAAAACAAATGCAAGTCAATGGAGCTAAAAACGCTATTTTCTAATTCCGCTTGTTTTGTGCCATGGATTTCACACATGATGCCCGTGAATTTTAAGACACATTTTGATACTAAGAACACGCTTATTTTCAAACGGGAAAACGATATTTTAGGTTTTGTGTGAAACTAAGTCCAGGACTACAAATGTGCTTCACAAAAGTGATGTCATCGAACCAGACACGGAGAAAACTGGGGGAAAAGGGCTGTAAGTTCAGCAAACTTCCCACAGGAGGAAAGAACCACCATAAATCTGGTCATCTAGTAAGTAGCAGATACTTTGGGGGGAGGAGATTATGTGGTGACGTCATTTATGCGACGTGCCAATTTCTAGTTTGTAGTCATGCTAATTACGAACTTTTACAAGCTAATAAATCTTGA